ATGGATATTGACCGGGATACATCATCGGTTGCGGGTATTGCTGACCGGGCATCTGAAATCCCGGTTGTATGTAGTTCACCGGTTGTTGGGCGACCGGGTATGTGTTAGATGGGTGCGGTGGTGAGAGATTGAGATTCAGCTCTACCGTTTGACCCTGCTGTTGGGTTGCATGGTGCCCAGATGAGCTAGCTGCATCCGCCTGGTCGTCGGCGAAGTTGTTTTGAGCCCACGGATACATTGTTGCAAAGAGACCGAGTGCTCGTCAAGACGTAGCTTTGTTGCACGGGTCCCCACAGACGGCGCCAAAATGATACTGCTAATTCTATGCAAGCAATATAAAATAAACCCAAGACCAATTAAAGCAAATAAAAGATTTTATTGATCACGGTAAAGGCCCTGAGTACAATCTACTTGGTTGCTCTGAGTACCGACTGACTGCGGTCGGGATTCTCTAATAACAACCTATCGATCGTCCAAAAGTCCCTTACACTGTAGCTACTGTGAGTATTTATAGCCGCTATGTCGGGGACAGGATTCCAGCCGTTCGGCATGTCCTCCACGTAGCCACCACGTGTCATCCTCCCGGGTGCCCTGTCTGTCGTCGTAAAGAGCCGCCACGTGTCCTTTTGTCAGCTCTCTCGCCAAAGGGCTACCGCTCGGCGGTCGACACCGATGCTCGGGCCATTCCCGGTCGCTTCCCGACCGGGTTCTTCATAAAAGCCCGACCTGTTACCTGCAAAGACATAAAGACAAAGACAAAGGCAATCCGGTCGTGGTGGAGCTTATGTCGGTCGGGATATTCCCTACCAATGGGGTTACCCATGTAACCTCATGAATTGCAATTCCCTTCAACCAAACACTGTAATTGAAGCATTGAATTATAAATCAATTACAACTAAATTACATCCAACCAAACACCCCCTTAATGGTGTGTTTGTGCGAAGCAAGGCTGGCGGCGGCGGACGGTCGTATGCGATTTCACGAGGGAGAAACCGTTGGTGGAGGGTTCTAAGCTGATCGAAAAAATTGTTTTGAGCAACTTTTTGAATTTTAGCATTTTGGAGCAATAAGTTGTTACAAAAAGCTAATTAAACAAACACACAGGTTATGTTTCGTAAATGTTGTTAGCTGTTAGCTGATTGAGTTAATTAGTTGATAACATTAGCTGGTTGTAGAAAAGTGTTTGGTAAATTAGCTATTAACTGATAGTTGTTTGGTATAATTTCTTTTCTCAAAGAGTTAATTGAAAAGGCTACTTTGAGCAGGCTTTTTGAATTTTAGTATTTTGGAGTTGATTTTTTAAAGAGTTAATACCCAAAATAGTCCCTCGACTATGTCGTAATTACCAATTTGGTCTTCGACTATCATTCTTACCCAATTAAGTCCTCAACTATACAATTTTTACCCAATTTAGTCCTTTGTCAATTTGACTGTTTGTTGACTGTCAAAAGTGGAAATAAAGTTGTAATTTTACAAGTTTTCTCCTTCCTCCTCATTTAGCAGCGCCAAACCATGTAGCAATAAGCTCTGGTTGGGTTCTAAATCTGTCAGTATCGAAGTAGTGGTTATGCATCGGATAGCCCATGAATTTGATTTTCAACGATTTTTTGACGATCGAAATCTGATCGGAGTGTATTGCTGTATAGTTTGGCGCTGCTAAATGGAGAGGAAGGAGAAATCTTGTAAAATTATAATTTTATCCCGACTTTTGACAGTCAACAAACAGTCAAATTAATACAGAGGACTAAATTGGGTAAGAATTGTATAGTTGAGGACTAAATTGGGTAAGAATTGTATAGTTGAGGACTTAATTGAGTAAAAGTTACATAGTTGAGGACTTAATTGGGTAAGAATGGTAGTTGAGGACCAAATTGGTAATTATGGCATAGTCGAGGGACCATTTTGGGTATTAACTCTTTTTTAAAGTTGAACAATTAATAATAGTTAAATAAGTCAAAATTAGCTGATAAGCTAACTATGTTACCAAACAGGGCTTATATATGTTTTGCGAAAACAAAAGTAGTAACAATGCAGGAGTTTATTACTTGATTGTGTTTCAGCTGATCACAAATGACAAGTTCAGAAGTTCCCAGCACAGAGTGCTGGCATAGAAGATAGGACCCAGGACTTCATGTGCATGGTTTTTTAGGACACATTTTGGAGAAACAAATGCATCAAGAGTATATGGTCCATTGAAAGAGTTATTGTCGGATAAGAATCCAGCAATCTATAAAGACGTCACTGTGAAGGAGTATGTTACACATTACTACAAGAAAGGGTTGGATGGTACCTCAGGTTTGATAAATTTTAAGCTGGATGATAAAAATGTTTAATCATTAACGCTGGACTAAAGCGTTGGATTATATATATATATATATATATATATATATATATATATATATATATATATATATATATATATATATATATATATATATATTGTGTTGGACTAATTAATGTTGAATAATAATGTGTTAGATTATGTTATGTTGGATTATATTGTATTGGGTTATAAAATGTTAGAATAATGTTAATTAATGTTGAATATAATGTGTTAGATTACTGCTAGTTGTACCTCTTTTCTTCTGTTTTTGTTGAACTTGAAAGAAGAATGATGGCTGGCTAAGATGTTATAGCATATATATGTTTTGAGATGAGATAATTATTGTACTTTGGTGGTTGAGAGTTGAGACTGACATTTTTAGTTGTATGCGGAATTTGAAGAGGGCATCCTAGTGATCATGGACCTGGCCATCCAAATTAGGGATGGTAATGGGTGGGGCGGAGAGTATACTTTTCGTCCATGTTCCCGTTCCCGTTTCCATTTTCGAAATCTTGATCTCATCTTTGTTCTTATCTCCGGTGGAGAATTGAAAATAGTTCACATTCTCGTTCCGGCGGGGACAGGATTATCCGTCCCCGGTCAATTCTTAGTCAAAATTTTAAATTAGTTTAATTTTAAATAAGTCTATTTATCAACTCTTTATTGAGCACATAACGGTACATATTATTCCTTCTACATGAGGATAATAACCCCATTCGTAACTCTTTAAAGAGTAAATAATGGCATATAATAATACTAAATAAATCCTCATTTCGGAAATTATAAATCCATCTGGGATTTCTCAAAATAAATTTAATTGCATATCTAAATTTATTATTCTCCCAATTGTATTATGTAGCGGAACTTAATGCCATTTACCGTGGGAGAGTATATTTGATTAAAATCAATTAAGAGTCTCTGCGTGAACCCATAGGCTACAAACTCGCTTCATATCTTATCACCTCGTTATTCTTATTTCTCTTTCATGCACACACCCATTTGTAACCTTCATGGTTAACGCTCAACGGTGTAATGTTGTAAAGAGAATTTATTCATTTTAGCGAGTCGAGCTATGCATTAATTGCTCCTTTATATGTTAAATAGTCATGACACTTTCGGTGCCTAACTCTGGATCCAGATTATCATATAACGAGCAATTTGTAATGACAATTGTGTTGTCGACAACTATAACCTTTTTATAAATGTCTCCCATATTCAAGTGACTGTTTTTCCCCCCTGAAATGTTAAATGGACATATTTACCCTTAAATAAATATTTAAAACAAATATTTCATTTATTTTTCTTCTCCAACGAATTATGACTACAATTTGGTTCAAACCAAATAGACACTATAGCAACCAAACCAAAATATTCCAATTACAATTAGAATCGAAACCCGCTATTTAGAGTTTATTAAAATCTCGAACCGAAACGGCCGGTTCATGTTCCAAACTAAAAAAATAAATAAATACATTTATTGTTGAATTTAGACTATTTTAAAATAAAAATAAAATTTTAAAATAAAAACGGTTCAAAATCGTGAACCAGATCCGGAACCGCGGGTTCACGGTCCAAGATCCAGTTTTTTCGATTCATATTTTGAATAAATTGAAATCCAATTATTGGGTTTTGGATCTGAATCATAACCGGAAACTTTTAATTCGATTGCTATAGTGTCAGTTCAGTTCGAATCGAACCATGGTTATCCCTACGTATACGCAATAATTTGTTAGAGAAGAAAAATAAATAAAATATTTACTTTAAGGATAAAAATATCAATTTAATATATCAGGGAGAAAACCACCACTTTTAGAATAATTGAGGGGCTAATATCATATGTTATCCGTTGCTCGTTGTTCATTGGCCATTTGTCGCTTTCCAAATCTAATGAGGTATTAGCTTTTTTATTTTGCTTGTGTTATTCTAACTTTTGTGAATTTATATCAATTATTTTAGATTTTTGAGGATTATTGTGAATTTCTTTGTGGATGTTTATTGCAATTTAATTTGATTGATTCTCTGGAACCTGAATTCTTCTGCTAGTTTTCAGGATTGTTCACAATATATATATATATATATATATATATATATATATATATATATATATATATATATACACACATTGATGATCACTTTACATTAGCCAGAAACAGATTCATCAAAACAAGCTAGGGGTGTAATTCAAGCTATAACAAAGAGATCATATCTTGATTAATTAACATTCAATTTACCCAGATTTTGTATGAATCTTCCCTAGAGATATTTATATACTTCGCTAATGATGGTCAAATTGCCAGTAGTTTGTATTGAAATTACTATGCAACAGATTCTTCTATGCCTCTGTGCACTTACACGCTCTTTGGTAATCTCTCGAGTGTCACATTTTTTTTTTAAGGAAGTCAGTTTCGAAGTTCAAAAATTATTTTACGGATTTCCAAACACAATAAATATTTTTAGAGAGTTCTTGGACAAAGTCTTGTGTTTAAAAATGGGTCCACTAAAATAACAAATATCAACATGCCACGCATAGTAGGATGCCGACCAAAGGACATTATCACAACAATGGTAATAAAGTCATATGAAAGCAGACACACCTTTGTCCTATAACTTCTCAACCATTCATAAGATTATCCACAAATCAATAATTTGAAGTTCAACAGAAAGAAAGAAAGAAAGAAAAAGAAAAAAGGCATAGCAATTACTTCTATATATAGAATGAAGCATCTTCTTCTTTGATTATATTGTTTAAGTTGATCTGAGTTCCCTTTCTCTTTGCTCTTGGCTACAGCTAGCGATAATGGTGATGACAAGTGAAGCTAAAGAAATTCCTGCAACTTTTGACAGAAAAAGTGAATTGGAGGCGTTTGATGAAGCGAAGGCGGGAGTGAAGGGGCTTGTGGATTCTGGGATTACAAAAATCCCACCAATATTCATTCATCATCATCTTCAAGATCAGATGGATGGGAAATCATCAACTCCATGTATGATTCCAAGCATAAGCTTAGAGGGGATGGAGGAACACAGTTTTCGTCGAGACGAAATCATCAAGGAAATCAAAGAAGCCTGTGAAACCTGGGGATTTTTTCAGGCAATCAATCATGGAATTCCCACAGGACTTATTGATGAGATGATTGATGGGGTGTGCAGATTTCATGAGCAAGATACAGAGGTCAAGAAACAGTTTTACTCACGAGATATGACCAAACCGTTTGTATACAACACGAATTTTGACTTTTACACTGCACCATCTACAAACTGGAGAGACACTATGTACTGTACTATGGCTCCTGATCCTCCAAAACCTGAAGAATTGCCACAAGTTTGCAGGGATGTTTTGATGGAATACTCAAAGTATGTAAGGAGACTGGGGCTAAGTCTACTAGAGTTAATGTCTGAAGCATTGGGGCTCCCCAAAAACCACCTACAAAAAATGGGTTGTGGAGAGGGGCTTTTCCTAGTTGGCCATTACTATCCTGCTTGCCCTCAACCTCAACTCACATTTGCAACTAGCAGCCATTCTGACAGTGGCTTCATTACTCTACTGATTCAGGACCAAATCGGTGGTCTTCAAGTCCTCCATGAAAACCAGTGGGTTGATATCCCTCCACTACCCGGCGCTGTGGTGGTGAACATTGGTGATTTGCTACAGGCAAGTCTCTTAGCTTCTACATTCATGTGCTAGCTAGTTTATGGGGTGTTTGGTAAATAGTTGTTAGCTGATTGGATTAGCAGGGTTGACTAGTTGATAGCATTAGCCGATAGTAGAAAAGTGTTTGGTAAAGTAACTCTTAGCCAATAGCTGATTACATGTAAATTGACTCTCTCAAAAAGTTGATCGAAAAAGCTAATTAAACAAACACACATATTGATTGTTTAACCAAGTCAAACAGCTAATAGTGGTCAAATGAGTCAAAATTAGATGATAAGCTAAGTATGTTATCAAACAGGGCCATATATATGTTTTACGAAAACAAAAATAGTAATAATGCATAAGTTTATTACTTGATTGTGTTTCAGCTAATCACAAATGACAAGTTCAAAAGTTCCCAGCACAGAGTGCTGGCACAGAAGATAGGACCCAGGACTTCATTGGCAAGTATTTTTAGGACACATTTTGGAGAAGCAAATGCATCAAAAGTATATGGTCCATTGAAAGAGTTATTGTCAGATAAGAATCCAGCAATCTATAAAGAGGTCACTGTGAAGGAGTATGTTACACATTACTACAAGAAAGGGTTGGATGGTACCTCAGGTTAGTTTGTTACATTTTAAGCTGGATGATCAAAATGTTTAATCATTAACGCTGGACTATAGCGTTGGATTTTATATATATATATATATATATATATATATATATATATATATATACTATTTACACATTACTACAAGAAAGGGTTGGATGGTACCTCAGGTTTGTTACATTTTAAGCTGGATGGTCAAAATGTTTAATCATTAACGCTGGACTATAGCGTTGGATTTTATATATATATATATATATATATATATATATATATATATATATATATATATATATTGCGTTGGACTAATTAATGTTGAATATAATGTGTTAGATTACTGCTAGCTGTACCTCTTTTCTTCTGTTTTTGTTGAACTTGAAAGAAGAATGATATTTTCAAAATAATAATAATAATAAAAAAGAAGCTATATAAGAATGATGGCTGGCTGAGATGTTATAGCATATATATCTTTTTTTTTTTTTTGAATGTTACTGGCCCTATTACATTGTAGTATCTGTTCATATACTTTCTCAACCTACTGAAACACAAAGAACCAATAACACCTCCACTGAGGCTTGAACTCACAACCTTCCAAATGGAAATCCAACCCGGATACCATTAGACCACATACCCGCATATATATCTTTTGAGATGAGATAATTATTGTACTTTGGTGGTTGAGAGTTGAGACTGACATTTTTAGTTGTATGCGGAATTTGAAGAGGGCATCCTAGTGATCATGGACCCGGCCATCCAAATAATATTTTGATAAAAAAAAAAAAAAAAACATGTTGTCAATTAGATTTCATTCTTTACTCTGATTTCACATTTAAAATCTTGATGTAAACACTTTTATTGGACAGAATCCACATGAATAAAATAATTTACCTGTGCCTCCATATCAATGAATAAATATGAAAGGATAAGAATTGAGAGTACATATAATAGAACTCTTGATAGAATTTGTATTTATACCACACAAATTGTACACAGCACCACGCGAACAGCTGATGGCTTTTTTTAATAATGTTTTTTAAATTTTCAATAAATAAATAAATAAATTGTTTAAAAAAATAAAATAAAATAACATGTGTCAACACTGTAAAGATTTAATCTGTTAAACAAGTTAATTTATACTTCACTGAACAATTTTATCGATTTTGGAGACTTGAATGAAACTTTTTTTACTTAGTGGATTCAATTGTACTATTCAGTTGACTTAGTGAGTCAAGTTGAACTTTTTTCCACGTCTAAAAATGACTTTTTTTTCACTATTATATTACCGATTAATCTAGATAACACAGAAATGAGAAACGTTTACCCTTAAAATTTTTTATGTGCATCATAGTATATATTGGTACAACTTTGTTAGAGATGACTAGGTCATCATAACCATATAACTGAAAGTAATAGTGCATAATATGGAGAAAAAGCTTACACACTTGCAAAGAAAATGGCATAGATGGGTAATATGACTTTGAATCAAGAGTAAAGCACTTAAACATTTAAAAAAAAATTATTATTTTACATTTGCCTTCAACGTACTTCTGTGTGTAGACAGAATAAAATTTGTTAGATCAAATACTAAAAATGTTTTAATAATAAAAATGCAATAAAGCAAAAACTGAATTTTGCTTAAGGAATATTATTCATTTAAATAAAAATTTAAATTATTATATATTTATAATACAAATTTATTAATTAATTTATAGTCATACACTGCACTGCGGTGATCCAAAATGCAATTTCCACTTTTTGATTTGCCAAAGTTTAGGAATCATATAACGTGGAGAACACATCTAAATCAAATCAAATGCACGTTAATTCGATCTCATCATTCAAATTAAAGCTGCCTGCCTCGTGCCTAATAATATTATATATTTATTGATTTTAAAAATACATATAATATGGCTGTAACAGGATCACCAATTTGCCACCTTCCCACTACCATTCATCACCAATATATCTATTTATTCTTTATCGCAAAACAGGCAAATAATAATAATAATAATAATAATAATAATAATAATAATAATAATAATTTGTCCCTTTTGTGTGCTAATATATAAATGTAAATATTTGCCCTATGACATTAGTCTAGTTGATAAGAAATTTCACAAGGATTCGATTCTTATCACGAATATTGAGAATTTGGGTTTGGGTTGAGCTCCATGTGTACAGAAGTATATAGCTTGATATTGAGTCTCGCAGTTAGATTGATTCGATTTACCTCTTCATGAGTTTATGGGGGATATAGTCCGGCCAAGATTTTAGATGTTAGTTGTACACACCATTTTATTGGATAACTCATATTGTATTTTTTGGACAAAATTACACTTACACCATTATAACTCTATTACTATTTAATGAACTCTAACAAGAAAAATCCTTCACCCCAAGGGGATCACACCCTAACCTAACATGATGGTGAATTGGTATATCACGATGACTCAACAGCCTATTGGTGAGAGCACTAGTATTTGGTACTCACAAAGAGCCCATCACAATGATTGTAACTCACACACTAGAATTGTTAGATCTCGATTATCCGTCCATAATTCTTGCTCATAATCTATCACTTAGTAATAACTAAACTGCTCATGCAGACATAACTTCCATTTTTTTTTAATATAAATAGAAATATTTAATAATAATTTAATCATTTCAATATAATATGAATTCAACGATTCGTAGTCTTTATTCATTTAGAATTATTATTTGTTAAATTATTTAAATATAATCTTAATTTTTGTATTGGTAGTAATATTGAGTTCATTACTTTTGCAAGTCGCATGTATGAAAGACTAATAATAATAATAATAATAATAATAATAATAATAAACAAAGAAGGTTGATAGGTGATCCAAGTGAAAAAAGTTTAGGGGTGGTTGGTTCAAACATTGAAATTAGAATGGTAATTGGAATTAAATCTTTGGTAATTAATAATGATAATGAGTTTGAATAGAATTAAAAAAAAAAAAAAAATTAGCCAAGAACCTTGTGCTCAGATGGCATGTAGTAGTTTCTCCCATGTGGAAGGTCATGAGATCGTGCTTCATTAGGTTGAGAAAGTATGTTTGAACAGATACTATAATGTAATAGAGTCAGTAGCATTATATATATATATATATATATATATATATATATATATATATATATATATATATATATATACACACACACACACACACACACACAATTAAAGTTCCATATTTAACGCATTGACAATGACCATATTTAACGCAATGTTGCAAAAATCCCGCCTAGGCACTGGCCGACCGCCTAGCGTATCACCATAATCGGTGGTCTAGGTGCCTGGCCGGCTAGGCGGCCGACTAGGCCGCCTAAGTGCCGTCTAGGCCGACTAGGCCACCTAGACACCGACTAGGTCGCCTAGTCGGCCAATTAACTATTATTCCATTCTTTTTTAAATGAGTTATTTAATTCAAAATGACATCGTTTTGAGCGAAAAAATTTTAAATTATTCAAACTCTAGATGTTTTTTAAGTTAATATTTAATATTTTAGTATTAACTATTAAAGTATTAAATAGTTTATACGTATCAAGTCTTGAAAAATTAAAAAAAAATTAAACAATTTTTTTAAAAATAAAAAATACACAGGCACCTAGGCGCCGATTAACCCCAGCCTAGGCGCCCTAAACGCTAGGCACTCCCTGAGCGTCTAGCGATTTTTTCAACCATAATTTAACGCATTCAAATCTTCATTTTTTATTCTATTATTCAAAAGTGTGGCAAAAAAAAAAAAAGTGTAATGAGTTATAATTACTACTCCGTAAAAAATTTGAATCCAATAATAAGATAGTAAAAGTAGACAAACGAATATAATAATAAGAATCAAATCTCATCGTAGGATACAAAAAGTACCCAATCAAACACAACATTAATTTCCTTAAGGTCCTTTTGGTGTAATTTCATTCAGTTTGTTATTCAAATGCTATAATCAAAACTAATCAAACAAGCCTGCATAGACTTAACTCAGTGATTTAGTAGGAAGTATTTAAGAGAAAAGAGCAAGGTTTGAAACTTTTTGAGCAGATTTCTTGTGTGCACTGATATTTGATCCTGTCTGTTGAGTCACTGAGTTACCGTGATTTATCTCTTCCCACATGTTCTATTGGATCGGAGATTCAACCTTTTGAAAAAAGAAATAATCAAACAAGATAAATCATTAATAGTTAGTATATTTAATTATTATTTATATCCTCAACTTGCAATACACTACTTCACCAAAGCCATTATTATGTACAAATATTTAATTTGTCATGCCTGTAATCTCTTCAATTATTTGAGTTTGCTTAACAATCAATTAACCCCTTGAAGAAGCTGCCTAGTGGCATTAATATTTATGGTAATATGACTTTGATTTAATTTTAAAGCCATACTTAGATACCTTTACATAAAATACTCTTTATTAACCACTAATTGACCTGTCATTATTTGATTGAATATATAAATTTCTTATTAATTTATAATAGAATCTCCTAATTCACTAGTAGTCATATTTTTTGGATACATAAATTTCTACCCAATAATAGGTATTTAATTTCAAGAGAATAACCCATGCCAAAATAGTAGTTAACAAAAAAATTATTAATTAATTTTTTTCAAATGTTTTTTTTTTTTTTGTTATGACAAAAATTTCAATAAATTTCGTCCATTTATATATTTGGAATGATTATTAATCAATTAGAATAATTATAATTGATTTATCATTTAAAATTTAAAAAGAAAAGAATACAATGAGATACCAAACAGAGCCTTAAATGAATTGCCGCTCTCAATAAAACACCAATACGGAGCCACCAACGCAGCTTCGAAATCCCAATTCAATTTTTCCTTTTTCTCTTCAGCTCCACAGCTCAGGGAGCGAGAAGCTCACTATCACCCCTCAACTCTTCCGATTCTAAACAAACCAAGATCCGTAGCATCTGAAGCAGAAACCCTAGAGAAGCCCAAAAAAAAATGGGGTTTTTTTCCTTCTTGGGGAGAGTTCTCTTCGCCTCCATCTTCATCCTCTCCGCCTGGCAAATGTACGCTCTCTCTCCCTCTTTCTAGATCTGGCCGCTATACCCTTTTTTTTTGTATGTGTTTTTGCATCAATATGGCGTTCTTTCCTTATGGGTATATGCTTCGTGAAACCGTACGGGTACTGTTAGATCCAGCTCTTTTAGCCATTTCGTTGCTGTAAATCCTGTAATACACTGGATAGATAGATATGTGTG